AGTGTTGAGACATGTATGTACGCACTTTAGTTTTTTTAGCATGTGTAGATCTAGATTCTTGTCATTTATATTGTGAATATTCCTGAGGAAGACTGTTTAGGGTGAAACGTTGAACTTTGGATACAATATTTTTTGGAAACACTACCAGGTCTTAACTGTTTTAATATCTGCTTTATACAATGATGATGATGATGCTGACGATGATAATGATGATGATAATGATAGTGAGGGTGGGAATGGATTACGTTATTTCATACTCGAGACAAGAATTTCTCACTCACCGAAACTGATCTCAAAGTGTATTGGTTTGTCCCCGATCTTTCTGTCTATCATTGTGGCCTCCAGGAAGACTCCGAGAAGGAAATACTCTTCAGGGCGACCGGCAGCGTTCTAAGGGAGCATTCAAAGAATTAAAGAAACGTAATGATAGACAGATGAAAGAAGGATAATTAATGACTTGAGCGAATCAATAACAACACACTACCCCCCTCCTAAACCTAAAGAACAAAGAAAAACAACAACAACGAAACAAAACAAAAACAAAACAAAACAACAACAAATCCCAACAAAAGCAAACTATAAGGTGCTTCGCTAATACGCAAATTACAGGAACCAGGGATCCCATTATACAATCGAACTTGTTCCCACGACTGACTGTGCTAACCACCATCATAATTCCCACTTCATCGTCTCGTTTTTTCCATGATTTTATAATGCCCCTGTCCAAGACATCCACCTGTCTTTAAGAAAACTATTTTTTCCTCAACAATGGCGGTCATCCTGGTCAATTTCAACTATGTTTTAATAGATATGCTATAACGACATAGTAAACACAAAGACAAACAAATAAATAAACAAATAAACAAGAAGACACGCAAATATATAAATAAATAAATAAATAAATAAATGAATAAATGAATAAATGAATAAATAAACGAAAAATCGAATAAATAAATTTAAAAAATAAATGAAATAAATAAATACACAAACAAACGAATAAACAAACAAAAAAGCAAATAAAAAAAAAATATATATAATGAAAAACATAATGCAACCCCCAACGTCTAGTAGTTGAGAATAAGAACAGACAGTACCTCAGAAATGGGCGGGGCTGCCTCCACTTCCACCAAAGTAGCCCCCAGGTCCTCACTGTCGATAATCTCTGTCTTGAGAGCCACCAGCAGACGACCTCTGTAAGACACCCCTTCCCCGAGGCCGTCGTTGAGGTGGCCCTGTTTGCCGATGATGCGGTAGTCTCTGGTGGAGCCGTACATATTGACCCAAGCGGGGCCGTAGGTTGGGAGGAAGCCTGGGGAAGGATTGAGTTCAAATGTCAGCTGAAGTCGTTTCTGTTTTTAAATTAATAAGATGAATATTTGGAGTAATTTTCTTTTAGTCAGAACACGTTTTATGTTACTGTTGTACGTTGTACTCTATTGTAAAGCGCCCAGAGCCTGTGTGCTTTAATAAGTGTTGAGCGCTATATAAATGTCATTTATTATTATTATTTTTAGTTAAAGTAGCAGTGCCCGTCAACATTTTTACAGTAAAGCCAGTGCCCACTTTTGTCATCTTCAATGTCGAATTGGAATACTTATATCAAGATGATTATGATGGTAGAAGTTTAATGGATGATGGCAAGAATGACCTTCTGAGTCTTTCTTTTTTTTGCAGATCAGATACCTAGGGTAAATAAAAGTTTGTAAAAGTTTTACATCGTCCACCCTTAGCAAATAATACTTGTCGCTACCCGTGTGATTTGCCCGCTCACCAAATTTACCAAATCTCCCACTTGTCGGTGATATCACTTAGTTTGGCTAGCGGTGAGTTAAGGTGAATCATAATATTATGTATACGATAACAGTAATTTAATGACAGCAAAAACAAACAAACCGCAGGACAGATAGGCAAAAACAGGAAAGAAAGCGTTGAGTTCGCTGACAGACACTCACAAAAAGAAATAATTACATCTATAATAAAAATTTAAAGGTCACTGGAATACTTATATCAAGATGATAATGATGGTAGAAGTTTAACGGATGATTGTAAGAATGACCTTCTGTGTCTTTCTTTGTTGCAGATCAGAAACCTTGGTCTTTTAAATCCGATTCATCATCATCATCCAGTGCCAGATCTGTGACAGACATCGGCGATCATGATTTTCCATTCATTCCTTTGCTCGGATGCTCTAAAAAAAGCTACGTTTCCCTGATCTTTCCCTGTTACCCATTTGTTAGGTTCCTTAAGTATGTTGTTCTGGGCCTACCCCTGCTTCGCTTGCCCTCAATTTTGCCAGTGAGAGCTAGATGTTCAAGACCCTTATGTCTATTCAGGTGTCCCAAAAACTGGATTTGTCGTTTCCTGATTGTTTTTAACATTGAGCGTCCCACGTGGGCTTCATCAAGCACTACCTCATTTGATTTCCTTTCCTTCCACGATACTCTTAGCAGTCTCCTTAGAAACCACACTTCTGTTGCTTCTATATTATTAATTCTGTTATTTGAGGGAACATGGGACGCTTGTTGTCCAAAAAGATGGATTTTCACAGAAAGATCTTGTCAGTGTGTTAGTGTTTTAGTACCTATAAATGGCTGCTTGCACTGTATGCTACCCAGGAAGTTGAGGCTTATTCAGAATGCTCTCAGGTCTGCTGGGGTAATAGTATAGATTGTGAAGCGCATAGAGCTTGCTTTTGAGTGGGGATTTGCGCTATACAAAATGCTATCTATTATTATTATTATTATTATTATTATTATTATTATTATTGTTATTATTATTATTATTATTATTTTATCATCATCATCATAATCATTATTATTATTATTATTATTATTATTATTATTATTATTATTATTATTATTATTATTATTATTATTATTATTATTATTATTATTATTATTATTTGCGTATGAAATAATTCCATCTATCATACCTTTCTCGCCCTCGTTAGAGATAGAAGAGAGATCGATGAAGTGAGTGCCAATGATGTCGTCATTGACACTGTCGCTGTCTCGTAGCTGGAGCTTGAGCCGACGACAGAGCGGGGGGAACATCTCCGTGAACACAACCTGCTCGTTCCACACGGGCTCGTAGCAGCCTTTTTTCACAGATGTCTTGCCCTGTTTCAGATTTAAAAAATCCCCGGTGTTATTATTATTATTATTTTATTTATTTATTTATTTATTTATTCATTTATTTATTTATTTATTTATTTATTTATTTATTTTTATTTTTATTTTTATTTTATTAGTTTTTTTTTGGTTTTTTTTTTTGGGGGGGGTAAGTGTTTTACGGCGCTCGCAACTGCATAAGGTCATATGAGCGCGGGGGACACACCTAACATTTTTATTTGGTAGGAAATTTTGAATTTTGCCCTGGTGGCGGCCGAAGCTTACTCTTATAAGAAGGAGCCAAGGAGAAGCAGTGGAAAGGCTGTAGAAAGTGCCAGGAGCGCAGAGGAGGATGCAAAGGAGGTGAGGGGGTGGGGGCAGAATATTGCAAGAGAGCAGGAAAGGAGGTGAAAGGAGACAATATTAGAGAATAAAATGTTTTCCTAGCTATCCGAATTCGAACCAGGGACCTCTGAATGAGAAGTCAACACCTTAACCTCTAGGCAACGACAGCCCCCCCCCCCACCCCAATCCCTTGTATGAGCACAAGGTTATAGTGTGGTTAGGGCGATAACGAACAGATTAAATCAAGTTTCCAGTTTAATTTTGGGTGAAATTCGTTTAGAACATACACATTAAACCATGGTAAAACTTTTGCTGAATGGGATACATCATCTCAGCAGAAAGATGGAGATATTTGACAAAACACACTTCACCATTTGAGAATTGAACTAACGCTTTTCCATGCAGGAAGATAAAACTAAACAATTACACCCTGTACGCATTCTTTATTCGTTCCGGAAGTTTATTGAAAGTAAGCAGTACCTTTATTTTTTCAGCAAAAACAGAGAAAACATGAACAACCCCCCCCCCCAACCCCCAAAACAACAACACAAAGAAAAGGTTCAGGATACCTTGTGGCCGGCAAAATGAACCTCGACGTAAGGATCCGCCAGGTCTCTGTTTTCTCCAGTAAAGGCTTTCTTGACACTCGCCATAACGCCAGTGTTCATTTTGGGAAGGCCCTCGGCTTTGAAGATCTTGACAACATAGCGAGCCTTCTGTCGGTCAGCTGGTACCCCATCGGGGAGGAGAAGGTTGCTGAAACAGTGAGCAAGCACAGTGTACAATGTACATATCTTTTACTACTTACGTTTACTGTTACATCTTAATCCTCTGTTGCCGTTAAGCGTCGAGGGGAGATGCAGTTTTCTATGGTAGGCCAGCTCCGCAGCTCTTTCAGTTGTGATGTTATGTTTTCTTAGGGTTTCCTTGACACCCTCGACCCACCTTTTGCGCGGCCTTCCTCTTCCTTTATAGCCTGAGTGCTTAGAACTTTTACTCTTCCCTTTAATACTTTAACCCCTTCACTGCCAGGCGTGAGACCGTCTCAAGCTCTCTTGTAGAATAGCAGCAGGACTTGGGGCGAAATGGCATTTTTGCGTTTCACAATCATCATTGTTTTCCTCAGTTTATAAGCATAAACGTTTATTTTACTTTTCTTTTCTCCGGTTCTAGAAATGACAATAAACGTCTTTTCCCTTCTAGAAGTCGCCATGGGTGGCATGGGGCAGCGTTTTCAAAAGAGAGAGCTGACGATCAGGCAGCGAAGGGATTACAGGAACTGTGTGCTACAGTATATCTAACGAGCACTGCCTTTTTAGAAAAAAATGTTGCACTTTGTAGCTTACTAATAACTCGTTGAACAACCAAATTTATCTCTTAATACCAGCTTTGTCCAACCCCCACCCCTTATCTAAAAATACCCAAGAAAAAACCCCCAAACCTCTGAAAATCCGCAATAAACAAAAACACAATTTCTTTGCCAGTCAAACAAAACACATGTTGGCCTAAATACGTTCATGTTATGATCATATTTGGTAAATATCGAGTTGTGATGAATTTGGAAACAAATAACTATCAATAATTTATTTATGTGTGTTGAAATAAGTTATACGAACTCAAGCCAAACAGACCGAAATTCTTTTCTAAGGAAATTAAACAAAGTTCCCCCCACACAAGAAAACTAGCTAAACTACGAAAAGACATACCAAGAACCGGAACACATACTATTATGTGTTGCATCGCAGCAAAATCAGGTGCTCGTTAAAATAATGAAATCGAGCCAATATTTATTGAGGTTTTATGTGGCTCAACACATTCTATGCTTATTTATAAACATATTCATGTGAGAATTTTGCTGAAAAACAAACAACAACAACCGATGATCAAAAGTACACAAATTGTAAATTTGCAATGTCCATGTACTCTTAAGCTTTGGAGTCACCAAACTTGGCGGCCATTTTCACGTTAACTTTTCCTCTGATGCCAGACGATCACCACCTCCTTCAGCTGCAAATATCTCAACTGTTTTTCAAGTTAGATGTGTATTTATTCCACTAAAAGCAAGACGAATGAACCAGATTTTAGATGATATCAGTACCTCCATAACCCCCCTCCTTTTTTTTCTAACTAACGAGCGCCTGATTCCACCTCGTCGCGACACATTTACGAAGAAGGCGTACGTAAAGCGTGAGTAAGTCACTAGCCACATGTGATTGTCATCTTTTGGGAAAGGACCTAAGGTAGTGATGAATGCTCCTACTGCAACGCTTGCCAAGTGATACAACATTCGCCAAAATCTGCACGTGATGCACATTTATGTTATTTTACTTTGTTGCTTCGACTCTGTTTCATCTTTCTTTCTTTTATATTTTTTTCCCTTGTTTCCCTTAAAATTCCATTTCTTCCTTCCTTTCTTCTTTTGTACTCATTGAACCAAATGTTCAATCTTTTCCTTCCTTCCTTCTTTAGTACTCATTGAACCAAAATGTTTCACTCTTAAAATAACAACTATATGCCAAACAGGGGGGGGGGGGGGCGTTGTTATACAAGGCGAATTGTTAAAATTGATGTGAAGCAAGGGACATTTTAAGAATTAAGACATTTTTAGCTCCTATGCGCTTGTCCGTTCTTTTTGTACTGCCAAAGGTCCTTGGAATACCAACTTAGAAAAGAATATGAGAACAACAAGTCCATTGAGACCAGACCAATGGGCAGTATCCTTGTTTCCTAGTTGAGACCGTATTGTTTAGATTCGAGAACATGCTCCTCAGTGTTGCTTAATTACTATTTTAGCATGCATTTCACCTGAAAACAAAAGCGGTATTCATGTAAGGAAGAAGGATTCATTTCAACAGGGTATAGCATGATTTTTCTTGCTTAAAGTGTTCTTTTTAAGCCTTTGTTCCAGTAAGTAGATGATTTCAGAAAATGAGAGAGTAAAATCGCATTTTGGGATAAGTGCATACTGTTCTAAAATGAATGAAATGTTACAACGACAACTGGATGACATCCAAATGCGAGTTTTTTCTGGACGCGAGCATCGACTTTTTCTGTTTGTTTCTCTCGTTCTCATGGACTCAACTATACACACTAATACGCAGACGTTTATGGCAAATCGATGCTGTGTATTGGGTGTAAAAAGCTTTCTCTCTTGAAAGTAAAGGCACTTTGAGACAAGTACAGTTTCTCTCATGGGTGAAACGTGTTTAATGCAGTTCACTGAAAACGAATGCCATTTTTGTTGGACAATTTTGTGACAAAAGAAGTCAAATATTGATGCTATTGTAAGTGTGTGGAGGGGGGGGGGAGAAGTGTGTGTGTGTGTGTGTGTGTGTGTGTGTGTGTGTGTGTATGTGTGTGTGTGTGTGTGTGTGTGTGTGAGAGAGAGAGAGAGAGAGAGAGCGAGCGAGAGAGAGAGAGCAAACGAGAGAGAAAGACACACAGACAGACAGACAGACAGACAGACAGACAGACAGACAGACAGACAGACAGACAGACAGACAGACAGACAGAGAGGGAGAGAGAGAGGGAGAGTCTCAATACTCCTCCATGTGAGTAAGCAAGTGTGTGCATGAATGTGTGTCTCTCTGTGAGTGGGTGAGTCAGCAAACTGCTGCGTGCACAGGTATTTGCTTTATGACACGTCGTAAGATCTGGAGCAGTTTTCAAAACCAATAAGAAAGAGCGTGAACAAGAGAAGAGAGAGGAATGAATAAAGAGACAGAGGGAGGGATAAATAGAAAGTGCTAAAATGAAAGAGAAAGAAAAAAAGGTGAAATAAGGAGATAGTGATCATAGATAGTTAGATAGATAAATAAATAAATAGACGGATAGACAGATAGATAGATAGATAGATAGATAGATAGATAGATAGATAGATAGATAGATAGATCGATAGATAGATAGATAGATAGATAGATAGATAGACAGACACAACAGAGAGAGAAAGAGATAGAGAGAAATATTTTTATCGAACTACCTACAGACATTGCCGCAAGCAGTGATACAAGCAGACGTACAAACGACAGAATAGACTTACTTGCGAAATAAATTCCTGCGCAGAATCATGATTTGGACAATCGTTCAGAAACAGAATTTATTTTTATCATTTGTAACTGAGACAAGGGAAACAAAAACAGGACTGAGGCTGCAAATACTAATTTTAAAATGACATTAACCATATGACATCACACTAATCAATGTTTATTTTTACCTTGTGCGGTTCAATCCAGAATTACGGAAAAAGATATTTGAGCATAATTCAATGTTTACTACTTCTGCCTTATGTGTTTACAAGAAAACGTGTGGGAAAAGATATTATTTGGCCAAATTATTATATTGATGTAAAAGATATTATTTGACCAGATTATTATATTGGTGTAAAAGATATTATTTGACCAGATTATTATATTGGTGTAAAAGATATTATTTGGCCAAATTATTATATTGGTGTAACTGCCTATGAGACAAAAAAAAAAGGATATCGGAAATATCGAGGTAGAGAGAAGAAAGCAAAGATTTGCACCTGTGTGAAGTTGAAGTACCAGTTGTTTTGTTGTTGATGTTGTTGTTGTTGTTGTTGTTGTTGTTGTTGTTGTTGCTGCTGTTGTTGTTGTTGTTGTTGTTGTTGTTGTTGTTGTTGTTGTTGTTGTTAAATATGGAAAAAATGTTTCAAAAACCCGAAACGAACACCCCCAACCCCTCCCATTCCAAAGAAAAACATGTTTGACTCACGCTTCAATGTCCTCATCTTCTTTGTCGGACTTTGGCGGTACCTGGAAGCAAATGCATCGGTTTATCAGTGGAAATAAAAGAGAAGTTAGTAAACTCTCAACAGAAACAACCATTAATTTGCTGCTATAGGTGTCAAGGAGGATGTAAAATCGATACCCGCAAATTAGTGTCGCAAGGCAATGATAGTACATAATAAGATGGTTCACTCCTCTCTTTGAGCCAATTAAAAAAGTGGCCTCAACATTCGGCGGCGCCCTCTTCGCAAATGCGCACCCTTTGTGAACAGAGTTACCCTACTTGTGTGAAAAAAATCAAAGTGAAACTCACAAGTTTTTGAATAAATAAGAATTCAAATTTCGAAAGAACGCTTTTTAGAAATGGTCACGCTGACAAAACACCTCCCGGAAGAGGCGACTGTTTTCTTCGTTTAATTTGACTTTAGAATGAAAGGCAAGAGGTCATTAAAAA